TCCCAGAAGCTGATTAAAACTGCTGCACCATAGAAGGGCATCAAATAAATCTGAGGCTTAGGTATCAATCATGCCTTGGATGGTGTCAGAAAGACATTGACTAGGGAAGGGGCAGCACAGGAGAAAACGCTGTGTGGAAGATGCTGCAGGTAGGAAGTGCAGAGGAAGAGGGCAGCAGCCAGGAGCAAGCTGCTCATGGTGTCACTGAGAGAGCCCTGCAAGGACCCTCCCTTCCCCACACTGCTCTGTAGTCCAAACCCAGTGCTTCTTTCTCAGCCAAGACAAAGCAGCTGTCTGGCTCTGTGATGGCAGTTCCTGGCTTGAGGGCCATGCTCCTGCTTAGAAATTGGCAGCTATGTGTGTGCCTTACTGGGAGAAAAAGCCTTGAGGAGAGAAAGAACAGGTAAGTCTGAAAATTGGCAGGGTTGAGAGCTGCTAATTTAGCAGTGGGAGAAGAATTACATTCCTGATCTCAGAGCATTTATATATTTACAGACTTTGGGCTATAGTCAAGGGCAAATGAGTCCTAGATCACTAGACAATAGAGAATGCCCTTAAGTGGCATTCAAGGAAAACTCATTGAGAATTAAGAAAAAATTAAAGCTGATCATGTGGATATTCACAACACACACACACACACACACACACACACACACACACACACACAAATCAAGTTTTCAGCTCAGAAAGGAGATTGGAATGCTGTGACAGATAACTTGATCAGATTCCTGAGCCAGCTACCTGGGTTCTTGAAACCAGTGGGTATGTACAATAGTTTCAGATACAGTAACAACCTGTGTCTTCCCTAGCAGGGGCAGATGTTACCCAATGACACCTGTTAAAAACTGTACTAAAACATCTGGAACAAACCAGATGAGACCCAGAATTTGTTGAAAAATAGAATCTAGTCACCTCCTGTGATAGGGAATGTGGTATATGAGAAATTGAATGATCCTTCCTATAATATTGACTGGTATGTGGTATGTAAAACATCACTTTTATTGGTTGATTTTAGAAAGAGAGGAAGGGAGGAGCAGGAAGAGAAGGAGAGAGAGAGATTGATTTGTTGTTCCACTTATATATGCGTTCATTGATTGATTTTTGCATGTGCCTCACAACCTTGGTGTATTGAGACAACTGAGCTACCCAGTCTAGGCCAAGTCTCTCTTCAAGAGTTATAAGGTCTATCAAAGGATTTTTAAGCTTAGTTATACAATTAAGTAAAAAAGCAAGATTGAACTTTCACAAATAGCAAGTTAGGAGATTTAGTATAGATGCAGACTGGGTTTTCTTCCTCTCTCATATTCTACTACACTCTGACTCATTCCCTATTCATGGTAGATACTGAGAGATTTGCAATCAGATGAGCACTAGTTCACCAAAGTCTACTGCTGCGATGACAGAGACATTGCTGCGATAAATAAAAGGGGCCTAGGGGAAAGTGATTTATTAATGAGGAGAAGTTTGAACATCCATCTTCTCTGGGAGCATATGTACTGCATTAAGGGCTTCCCGAACATCTTTTTGCTTCCACGTTATTTTTATTTGTAGAATCGGGTAACAATCCATAAAGCCCACCTGGAACAAGGGCTCAGAGTAGGTTGAATTTGGCTGTCATTCCAAATGAGTGAGGAACCAGGAAGAGCAAAACAGGAAATGAGGAAAAAGCAAAACAGAGTGTTTTTAGTTGGCCACTGGGGTATGATTTCTTCAGGGAACATCTAAGGCAGTGGTTCTCAACCTTCCTAATGCCCAGACCCTTTAATACAGTTCCTCATGTTGTGGTGACCCCCAACCATAAAATTATTTTCGCTGCTACTTCATAACTAATTTTGCTAGTTAATGAATTGTAATGTAAATATTTGTGTTTTCCTATGGTCTTAGGCTCTACAGCAGTGATTCTCAACCCTGAGAACCACTGCTCTAAGGTGCGATGTGGAAGGGACCTGAGAACTGTCAATCCGAGGAATGAAAGAGAGGAGTACGTGTCCACTGACTCCTGTCCTCCTTGGTCAAGAGTTGTCTGTGGAGTGTTAGCTCTTCACACAGGATAGTTTATGTGTGAGAATGAGAACAACCAAGTGGGCTCCTGCAGTGGTCCACACAGCTGAAGCAGCAGCAAAGCCTACACAGCGCAACTGATGTAAGGTGCTGGTTCACAGAGAGCAATCCGTTGCTGGAGTAAAAAGACGGAAAGGATTGGCGGTTAGTTAGAAAAGCTTGCTAATGCACTGCGGGATGTAAGTGTGCTAATAAAGCAATGTGTAAAATGCCATATAAAACTAAATGGAAAGAAAGAAATTATTTGGGGGTTTTGATGCAGGAGTAGAAGTGCTGAGGGCTTAATTTAATTGCTTCATCCATTTGTTATCATTTTTCTTTTTAAGTATCAGGTTAATTATATTCATTATCTTCTGCCCCAAAAGTCTAACTTAAAATGTCCAATAAAATATTTTAGACCTAAAAGTAAAGAAAATATTTCCCTTTGGATTGTGACTTATATTTACTGGCACAGGGTGGGAAGGACATGAAAAAGCACCTGAATAAATGCAGGCACTGTGTAATCTATTTAGGTGGTGAGAGAATGGGCATGACACTGGGGTGAACAATTCAAAGCACAGGGAGGAAATGCATTCATGCATACTGTTCAGCGAAGGAATGATTATTCTTTCATGACCCTCAAGTTGAAAAACAAATTTGAAACAGTTATCATAAACACTCACTCTCAAATATTGAGTTTCTATAGAATGCATTATTTGTATCTTATTAATGGACAACTTTTCAAAAATTAAGTGGTTAAATTGCATGTTATTTTCAAAAGAAAATGTTCATAAAGTGTTTTTGCTTGCTTGATATTGAAAGAGGAACATATTATCTAGATAAAAGTTAAGAGGTGTTTAAAAAAACACACATCTAAAGTTTTTTAAAAATACATAATAGGTTTTAGAAAGCCCACAAACCACCATATCGAAGTCAGTATTTTATATGGCTATGATTGTTATCTGGAGTATTTGGGCTTTACTTTTTCTCCACATTATAAAGTTACTAGGGCCCAGTGCACAAATTGGGCTGCAAGGCTGCTGTGGGCACAGGGGCAGACCTCAGTCCTGTCTGCCAGAAGCCCAACTGCTGCTGTGGCTTCAGCCCCGCTCACACCTGGTGACAGCACTGAGCAATTGGGACCGGTGCCAAGCACTGGCAGCAGGTGTGAGTGGCGGCTCTGGCGCCAGCAGTGGGTGCAAGTGGGGTCGTCACCAGCAGTCGGTGTGAGAGGCAGCTACTAGCCCAATCGCCCCTCAGGAGCAAGGGGAGGTGGAGAAGCCCTGAGAGGCAATTGGGGCCAGATGGCACTGAGCAATCAGGGCCAGCGCTGGGTGCTGGCAGCCGGTGTGAGCACCAGGTGGGACTGTGGTGTGCAGGAGCAAAGAATTTTCAGTAACCACCAGAGGCTCGCCTTAATGATAGTGACTAGCACCCTGCCCTGGTCTGATGCCCCGCTCACTTGCTCCACAATCCTGCCACAGCCAATGTCCACAATGTTCCATGCTCTGCCGCCTGCTGCTTCCGCCCACCATGTTCCATGTGCGCTCCTGGAAGTCAGCGCATGTCAAGCGACCAGTTGTTCAGTCATTCGGTTTTTCCACCATTTAGTCTATTTGCATATTGGGGTTTTATACATATAGATGACATATCTGAACTTGTAATTCATAGTGATTGATTTCATTTCTAAAATCAAGATGCTCCAAAATTATCTTATTTTTTGCCCTCATAGTTTTATATGCATTTATAAAATTATTTCAGGTAACATAAATAAATCACCCTAGATTATTTTAAATATGCCTTTCCTATCCAAAAGTGGCAGATTGTTACCATATCAAATTAGTTAGTTGCTGATATAACTTCTGTATTTAATCAAAGATGCCTAACACTGTCACCATGATATGTAGTTATAGTGCCTCTTAAAAGTCAGCATTTATCTTTCACCAGTTCTTTTGATGTAGAGAAGATATTAATAACCAAAAGAAAAAAAAGTCAGTTGATAAGTCACATTTAACCAGCACTAATGATTATTTAATGGAATGACATAAACTTGAAGTGAACACCATTTTATTTATAGCTTATTTTATAACAGCATTTTATTAAGGAATAATTTACATATAGTACAACCACAAATCTTAAAATACATAGAATTTGAGGAATGTTGACAAATGTATGCAAGTATATATAGCATCATCCAGATCAAAATACAAAACATTTCAACCCAGAAAATTCCTTCATATCCCTTTTCCAGGTCATTCGAATCCCTTCTCCTTATGCAAAGCAGCTGTCGTTCTGATTCAGGATAGCCTAGTTTTGCCTATAATTGACCTTCACATAAAAATAATTATATAGTATATTCTGATTTTTCTCAGCATAATGCTTTTCAAATTCATCTAGGGTTTTTTGTGTTTTTTTAAATATATTTTATTGATTTTTTACAGAGAGGAAGGGAGAGAGATAGTCAGAAACATCGATGAGAGAGAAACATCGACCAGCTGCCTCTTGCACACCCCCTACTGGGGATGTGCCCGCAACCAACGTACATGCCCCTGACCGGAATCAAATCTGGGACCTTTCAGTCCGCAGACCGATGCTCTACCACTGAGCCAAACCGGTTTTGGCTCATCTAGGTTTTTGCATGCATCAACAGGCCATTCTTTTTTTAACAGTATACTCTGTCAGATTATCCATTCTCCTGGGGATGAAATTTGATTTTCTATAGTTTGGTGCTGTTATGAATAAAGTTGCTAAGAACATTCATTTTTCTTGAGTACATATCTAAGAATGAAACTGCTCAATCATAGGGTAGGAATGTATTTAACTATACTAGAAGTGGCCAAATAGTCCCCAAGTGGTTGTATCATTTACATTCCTACCCACAATACTGAAAAATTCCAGTTACTCCATGTTCTCATTACGGTTCGTATATTAGGGTTGTTGTTTATTTGTTTGTTTGTTTGTTTTTAGCCAGTTAGCTGTTGTTTTTGAAATTTTAGTCATTCAGTAGCATCTTCCTGTGGTTTTCACATTTCTTTGATAAGTGAGTTTGTGAGCCTTTCTATATACTGACTGGCCTTTTGTATGTTTTCCTCTGGGAAGTGTCCAACTCTTTTGCTCCTTAACTGGCTTGTCTTTTTAATACTGACACCCAGTATTCTGCATATTCTGCAAGAGTCCTCTGGCAGATATGCATTTTGAATATTTTATCCCAATTTTTGACTTTTTCACATTCTCACTGAAGATTTCTTATGAGCTTTTAATTTTGATGAAGTCCAATTTATTTATTTTTCTACTTTAGTGAGTGCTTTTTATGTCCTATTTGAAATTTTTTTTTGTTATTTTTCAGATTGTAAAGATTTTCTCCCAGAATTTTTTATTTCACCAGTTACATTTAGATTCTTTTTCTTTTTTCTTTTTTAATATGTTAGAGGTCAAGGTTCATTTCCCCCCCCATATTTTCCCCAGTTATTCCAACACCATTTGTTGAAACGACTCTCCTTTTCCTCTTAAATGCATTGGCACCTTTGTCACAAGTCAACTGACTCTAGATAGTTCTGTTCCTGGTTTGTCTATCTGTCCCATTGATATATGTGTCTAAATTTATGCTAAGGTCATATGCTTCACTATTGAAGACTAGTGACAAGTCTTGATCCAGTTAGTATATCGATATGTCTTCCAACTTCATTATGTTTTTCAAAATTGTTTTGGCATTTCCACACAAAATTTGAATCAGCTTGTCAATTTCTATCCCAAAAAAGCCTTCTAGGATTTTAAACTTGGATTGCATTGAATCAATAGATCACTCTGGGGAAACAAATTAGACATTTATTTTCTCCTGTATAGCTGGACAGTCCAGATAGATTCCTCCACTGCATAGTTAGGAACCCAGGCTCCTTTGTCTTTCCACTCAACTACCTATCCCTGGGTTGGCTCCTTGTTGACACAATGAAGCTAGTGTGTTACCTCAGGAATCCATTCTGCAACTCAGGAAAAAGAAAGGGGAGGACAAAGCGTGTCTGGCAGCTGAGTCTTTCATCTTTAAAGCGCCTTTTCTTTAAGCCCCAGCAAACACTACATACTCATCTCTCACTGCTGTGAACTGTCTTATAGAGTCGTTTCTATCTACAAAGGAATCTTGGAAAATGTAGTTTTTTAGTAGAGCCCCTAAAAATTAATGTTCTGTCAGTAAAGAACAGGAGAAAGTATGTAGTGGGTAGGAAGTAGATATCTGCATAAGTAATCAAGTTTCTAGAGATCAACCAAAGAACTTGTATGTATATATTCATAACCCATGGACACTGACAATAGTGTGGTGAAGGCCTGGGGTGGGGGGCAGGGTTGGGTTAGAAGGGGTCGATGTAATACTTTCAACAATAAAGATTTGTTTTTTTCAAGTTTCTTCTGTAAAACTGCTAATTTTTGAGTTTAGAATGCTGAAGAAGGAACCGGTCGAGTTCATAAATGATTTACTAGATGGCTTCTAGCTCTGAAATATGTTATAACAGAAATTTTAAAAATTGTGGACCATGATGTTTTGATGTTTACAAAATAAAATGAGTACATTCAACTTACTAGCATTCAGAAAATGGCATTTCTTTATAAATAAAAGCAGAAACTGTTACCTGAATTCCATTTCTTCTACAAAGTAAAAATAGTCATAAGACAAGAAAAATAGCTAATTTAACATGTATCTTGATGATGTATCTTGATGTATCTTGATGATGCCTTAACAGATGTGGATTTCCTGTTCGACTGAAATATATACTTGTTTTCCAACCAGTTCAAGAATGGACAAAAGATTCTGAGTAAGGAATTAATGTACATGGAGTTCAAAAGTGTGAAAATAAGATTTTCCTATCTCAGGCTGGCTAGGTAAGGGAAGTGGGAAGAGAAATAATGATTTTATTGACCAAGTCAGGGATATTTGGTGTAAGAGTGATGCAAAGATGACAGAACTCACTGACGCTGTGGCTCCTGGACAAAATGACTGTGAAAAAATTAACTTCATAGATATAATAATCTATAAACTTTCCACTTTCTTGTTAATTTGTATAAAATTTGTCAGAGAGATACTATATTTTCATTGACCTTTACAAAAATATTTATTGTTGAAATTTTTTCACATTATACTTGAAAGAGACTATATTTATTACTATAGGCCCAGTGCACAAAATTCATGCACTGGTTGGGTCCCTAGTGGCTACTGACTGCCAGCCAGGGCCTCCCTACCTTATCCGTGCCTGGCCCCACACTCTTATCAAACTCCCACACAACTCCTGGTCAAGGGGACAATTTGCATACCATGCTTTTATTATATAGAAAGATTTACCTTAAAAGGTATAGAGAGGAAAGGATTGATATGGTCATCTACTATACTCCTATACATCAGGTTTCTCTATTAGCCCACAGGTCAGATTCTGGTTGTTTCCATTCTTCTCCCAGCAGTGTGTTAAAATTGAAAGGCTTGAAGTATTCCAGACGGTGGCTAAATGCAAAGAAAAAGAAGGTGGGAATTGAAATGAATTATGTATTTGAGAAATAGGTGACTTGAAAGGCTATTCATTCTGTCACATCTGTGATAGGACAACATTCTATTTTAAGAACACCAAAGGTAAGATATATTCTCTATGTATAATTTTCTCACTCTAGCTCTCAAACATTAAGCTCTGAAAACATTCATCCACATCCAAAAGCACTTAAAATCTACTTTCAAAACCTGACTCATTCCATCTAGCCTTAAACAAATCATATTGTATTTTTACTGATGTTTTTTACATTTAAACTTTGATATACTTTATATCAGTTATATAAACTACTATTTTAAAAGTTTCAACTCCATAGATAAGAGGATAGACTCCTTTGCCCAAGCAAAGAAGATTGAAAGAGTGTTAATCCTAGCTCTTTTCTTCCTGGGAACACTGTTTAACTACTACGGAGATTTCTATTGTGGTTTAATTGGGAGAGAAAGGTTTAGCTAACATGCTGCAGTAGAATTCAGCTCTCCAGCAGATTACTCTGCCTTGGCTGGCCCTGGCCAATGGTATAGTCACACTTTTACCTAGAGAGCCTCCAACAACAAATACGTTGAGGAGTCAAACATATTATAGCACTATGGAGCTAAAATATAAGAAGGTATTTATTAGCTGGTGAAGAACCTGAGAAACAAGCCATCTTGATATGAGGGTCCTAAGTCATTTACATCTAGATTCTGGGCCCATTCTGCTTACCTGGCCAGACTGAACCAGTTTGAGTCTCAACTGTCATTTCCAGATGAAGAGGTTCAGGAACCAACAGTGAAGATTTGAAAAGAAGGAAGGCTAGTTAGGAAGGGTTAGGACTGGGGAGAAAAGCAGAGGAAAGAAGGAAAAGTGTATCAGGCAGAAAAAAGAGTAGGCTAGAAGAGATGAAAACAAAGAAAAAAGAATATGATAGGAAGGAGAAGGCAAACAGGGAGAGGAGCAACAGCATTTTCCAGAGGTAAAAAGGCAGTAGACTCAGTCCACCATGGTGCAAAGTCCACTAGTATTAGATATCAATAAAGGGAGGGAGCAAAGGAATCAGACATTATCTATATAACTAGAGGCCCATTGCAGGAAGATTCCTGCAATAGGGCTTCCTGCTGCGGTCACTGCCCCCCCTGCTTCCCTCCCTTCTCCTCTGCCCCAGCTTTGCTCCCTTCTGCAATGCTTGGCTTCTTTCTATGCTGTCTTCAGTCTTAGCTCTGGCCTGGATATGCAAATTAACCACCATCTTGGTTGGGTTAATTTGCATACTCACCCTGATTGGCTGGTGGGCATGGCTTGTGGGCATAGCAAAGGTGTGGTCAATTTGTATGTTTCTTTTTTATTAGGTAGGATAAAGAGGTAATATGCAAATTGGTCCTAATGGTGTCACAGTAATGACCAATTTGCTTATTGACAGACCAGCAGGAGGCTGTGCTCACAGCAGGGGGACTTGTGTGAGGCTCACTTCCCTGTCACCAGTGCACTAAGCGAGTCTGTGAAGACAGGGACTGAACTTGACTGAACCAATGGCACAGAATTTATGGGCACTGGCCTTTGCTCTTGACTTGATGAAGACAAGGCTGGATTTCTTTCACAGCGGGACACAGCTGAATCCAGGGCAGTCCTTTGATTTTGCTTCTACAATAAATCTTACCACTGCTTCTCATCCTCCCATACATGGGTCTCCAAAATGCTTTCCTATCACTCTGTGAAAGGACCCCATTTCCACTAGGATGTCTCTGTTAGCTCTTCTGAACACACACTCGCCAGACTGTCTTGGCCACACAGACAGCTAGAGAGCAGAAATCCCAGCTTGCCCTAGGACAGGATCTGGCTTTCCTAAGGGAGTAGAGCTCACCACAATCCATGAGGCATTCATACGGCTGGACAGGCGCTATATTCTCCTTAGGTGACAGCTTCAAATTGGGCAAGTGTAGGAGACACCTGGTCTTACATGCCTTCAAATTAGGCAAGTGTAGGAGACACCTGGGTTTACATACCTGGCACCCACAGGGGCCAATATCTCTTGTAATAAGTCCACAGGCATAGCTTCTAGGGTCTCCACTGGGAATATGACTGTTATTCCAAAGCGATGCTGTCCCCGTCAGGTATTTATAATTTATTCATAAAACTATCTGTCCAGATGCAATTTAGCAATTAAGAGCCTTCTTTATTATTATGTTGCCTAGAAACCTAGTTGACATTTTTATCCTTATGAGGTTACCAAGGGAAGATAGCTAGAGAGTTAATTGAAGGTCATATTCTCAAGCAATAAGGGAAATAATTTATTAACCCTTTATTCACACCAAGAATTTGAATGTCTCTGCCCAGTTAGCTCTGAAAGGGATCATAAATGATTTTGTAACAATACTTCTATACCAGCTGTTGCAATATTCACTAAGCAAGATTTTTCTCATATTGCCATGGAAACTTCTATGCTATACTTACAGCAGTGAGAGAGATTAAGCGTGTCCACAGTCAGTCAAGTATTTACTGAGAACCATCAGGGAACACAGTACCCTACTAGGTGCTTGTACACATGTCTCCTTTGACCAAAAAATATTATCACTGGTCTACCAAAAATTAATTTCCAAAAAACTCTCACAGTTGGAACATATCTTCATTTATTTTCTACTTACAAATCAGGTTTTTGTCCTGGTTGTAGTTCATGCCGAGGTACAGGGTAAAGAGCTTCATAGATTCTTTTATCTTTTGATCCATGAATTGCAAATGAATTGAATTTTGTCACATTTGGTGGAAAATAACTCCAAGGAAGATAAGCTCTGCCTTCCCATTTTGTCTCTCCTCTGGATACTTCGAATGATAGAGCAAGTTCTTGCTACAGAAATGACATATGAAATATAAAAGGTAAATTCATATTTATAAGTTAAACATATATATATTAAATATTATAATATATACACAGATCTTCTATTTAAGAACTTTATCTCATATTTTTACTTACTTTCCAGACATTTCTTCTTCCAGATAATAAAAGCACCAAATGTTGTCCATGGCTGTGGAAATTAAAATTCCTCATGAGTGTTTGAAAGAAACAAACATTATTTTCTTCACTATTGTTTATATCTGCAATGTGTGTATTTTAACTAAATTTCCAAATAATTAAAAGATGGCCCTAGCCAGTTTGCCTCAGTGGATAGTGTTGGCCTGTGGACTGAAAGGTCTCAGGTTCGATTCAGTCAAGGACACATGCTCAAGTTGTGGGCTTGGTCCCCAGTAGGGGGCATGCAGGAGGCAGTCAATCAATGATTCTCTATCATTGATGTTTCTATCTTTCTTCCCCTCTCCTTTCCTCTATGAAATCAATTTTTTTTAAAAAGCTGCAAATTGAATACTGGATAATTATAGGAAGAGCCAGTATGTTCAGTTACTTAGAAATGCCATTATTTTCCAGATAATTATAGTCAAAAGTTACACATGTTCAGATTGTTTTTTATATTTTTTAAATATAAAATTATATAAAATATTTCAGTCAGAAGATAAAAACTCAGCAAAGGGGTGAGGGATATTATAATATTTGGCACTTATAATAAAACTACGTATTTTCAAAAACAAAAGTACCCTAAGAGAAGCTGGCACCAATTTCTAGATGAATCCAACAACTTTACTAAAGGTTATTTCCATAAGAAAACTGTCTTGAAACTCATTAGGAATAAAGAAAATATAAAATATAGATTGTTTAAAACTATATCTGTCTTCCTCTTGCGTTTTCCTGTTTTCTACCATTAGTTCATACACCAATGTCACATTTTCAAAAAGAAACATAACATATCCTCAAAAGGAAACTCTAATAAAAGAGCATAATTGGGACTAGCCAGGTCAATAAGAATCAAAGATTTTTCGAGTAGTTACATGAAAGAAATTTATTATCTCTGGAAAAGACTATATCTAAACACTTCTATAAAGATAGTCTATTGTGAGCTTTTCAGAGAGGATGTCCTTCAGAAAACTACTCTACCACATGACACGTATTCTTTCCTCTGCTTATTTTTATTGTTATGATGCAAGCTTAATAATATCCTAGAAGTAAAAGTTCTTGTAAATGAAAACAACAATATTCTTCACATTGTTTTTCTAGAGATTAATTGTCACAGGAATTGATTGCCTGAAGCAAAATCTTGATTCTTGATTATTGACTGTCCTGATATATATGAAACCAAACTACTTTAAGAATTTTTTAATTTTTAGAACTTATTAATTTTGTACATAATAGTTATTATGTAATATCTTACCAAAAGAGAACCTAATTATCCTATTCATCCAGTGCTAAGTAATCTCTTTATGAAAATAAACTGGTATTTTTATCTAATAAAAGTAAAACCAAGAATGAAACTTTGGAATTCTAGGAGATCCAAGTTCTTTACTGACTTGTAGACAAGTTACAAATCTATTTGTCTTAGCTTTCTCACTTGTATGATTAAAATAATTACATAATGGGTGAATATTTTTTTCCTCATGTGACAGTTTATGACAATGATATGTTTCAATAAAATATTTTGGCATGTTAGTTGAAAAGTAACATACAAAGATACAAGGTTATTCCTCTGAAAAATATAATTGGAAACAGCTACATTTTCTTCATTAGAGTTAGCAAAAAATCAAATTAAGGGAAAAGAAAATTATATCTAAAATCTTATTTAAATTGATTGTTTGGAACTTTCTGCCCAGCCTACAAAGGGACAAAGGCTAATGGATGATATTAGATACTGAAAAACATTTAAATGCCATTTAAAATAATAATCACAATACAAAAAATATATTCATTAATCTATATTTGTTATAATATAAATGAGAGGTGGGCACAAATTCACTTTTTCATATCTACAGGACAAATATTGTCAACCAGGTAAAGAAGGTTCCCAAAGGAATGGTTAAATTTGAACAAAGAGAGTCCCAGGTTAACACGCTAAATGAATCTAGAAAAAACAATGTGTGATTTATCCCTGGCACTTCAAAGTGACATAGTACACACTGAATAAATAAATGAGGACTACTGTACAACCTATGAGGGAAGACAGGGGTGAGGGGGTAAGAAATCCACCAAAGGACTTGTATGCATGCACATGAGCATAACCAATGGACACTGACATAGGCGGGTAAGGGTTTGTGTTGGAGGGTAGGGAGGCCAGGGAGAAGTCAATGAAGGAAAAAGGAAACTCATTTAATACTTTAAAGCATAAAGAATTTAAATTTTTAAAAATGAGGATTAAATGAAGAAACACATTAATACATTATTAACAATATATAAAATGAAAGTGTAATCTAGTTATTAAAAAAATTTCCTAAAAGAAACGGTTTCATGAATTAGTTTAATTTATCAAATCTATACATCTCCTTTATTTCTGAGTAGCTAGGACATAATAACGCCAATTTTTAGAATAAATAATGAGTTTGTTTTGCAATATTATTATCATTTTGCAAAAGAATTATTTTCAAATTTATTACAAAGACCAACTACATAGTAAAATGAAAATAACATAAATACTATTTTCAAATATCTGTAATATATACAGGATATGACAAAAGTAGGCTTACAATTGTTTGTATGGGAAATAATACAATAATTAGTAAATAATAATATAAGAATAAACTATTTTGCATACTCACAACTTTGAACCTACTTTTGCCAAACCCGTTTTAAACATATATTTTAAATTATACAGTTATTGAAAATAAGAAATTATACATAGTTCAGATTGGCATTTGCCCTCGTTTGTTGAAATTAGTAAATTTTTACTATGACCATATGATTTATAACTAGAAAACAATGTGTTCAAGTTATATAGTAATGAGTTAGAAAAAAAATTTTTTTTATACTTACGGGCAAAGTTCAACTTCTAAGTACTGTTCAGTTATGTCGTTCAAGAAAAATGCTTCTACAACTTTTGAAAACAGATACAATATATTGAGAATTTAATTATGCTTCAACAATAAATTATTTATTTATTCCTTTAGAGTATAAAATAAATTAACTCATTATTTTTAATTATAGCTGTATCCTCAGTAGAAAAAGGAACAAATAAAATAAATAGACGTTGCTTAGAAATAAATCACCATCAAATTTTCCCATATCAGATTGCCATAAATTAAAAAGATGAATAAAGCTGGTGATGTTGTAAAGAAATCAACATTATCATATAGATTTTAGGCCAGTTCTCTTTTTTGGGGAATTTATCGTAAGGAAATAATCAGACAACTAGAAAAATAAGTAAATATAATGCTAGTCAACAAAATATTGCTCAAAAATTAGTTATTATCTAAATGATTATCTCCTATTATCTATATAGGATCATTGCCTATTATATAAATAAATCTTCTATTATATAGAAAAGCTACCATATAAATTATGGAATTTATGTATTCTATGTATGTAATCATTAAAATCAAAGACAGTTAAATATTTTTTGATATGAAGAGATATCCATAATATTTGACAAGTAGGCTACAGAGCAATAAGCAAATCAGCAAATAAGCAAACCTTTCAATGTATTAATAAGTGATGCTGCAAAGAGAATAAGGGGCCAGGTCATGAAAAATCGTATATAGAAATCATATTAAGAAGAGTAGAACTTATTTGGGAGGAGCAGAAGCCTGAGAGGTTTTTAAGTAGCTGAATTATGACTTAAAAAAATTTTTTTTAAATGTATCTTTATCGTTAAAAGTATTACAGATGCCCCCTTTGTTCCCCTATTGATAGATCACTCTGGCTTTCAAGAGAGAAAGATGAACTTAAGGGCAAAAAGACTATTTAGAAGTCTCTGTCCTATTTGATGTAAAAGATGATGAAGGCCTAACCTATAGCAGAGATGATGGGAATGAAGAAGGGGTACTGAAATAGAGAAACATTTAGGAGGGGAAATTGGTAAAACTTAGTAGATAAAACCAAACATAGAGAATGAGAAAAAAATCTTGGGGAAAAAATCACATTTCTATATTCAGTGATTTGAGGTATATGACTACAATTGATTGAGACTGGGCAATTAGGGAAAGAGTAGGTTTATGAGAAAAGTGGATAAGTTGAGTTTGGGACTTGTTGAGTAGATAAGTCACACTGGTGTGTATACCAATGGGAAGCTGATATATACAAGCTCTGTATCAGTAATAGACAACATATGGTTAACATTTTATAAATTAACTAGAGGCCCAGTGCATGAGATTTGTGCACGAAAGGGGGAGGATAGTGGGGGAGGGTCGCCTAAACCCAGCCTACACCCTCTCCAATGCGGGACCCCTGGCTCCTAACTGCCCACCTGCCTGCTAGCCTTGTCACTCACAATTGCCCCCTCTGCCAGCCTGGTCACCCCTTACTGCCCCTCCTCCGGCCTGGTTACCCCCAACTGCCCCCTGCCTTTTTATATATTAGGATTTTGACAAAATGCATGCCATATAGATGGTATAGAGCAGCCATAGGTGCAGACAAGACAAGAATTTTATAATTTTTCACTATTTTGTTTACTTAATATTTCATAATATAGTAATTATAAAATACTTGCTTTGTGTTTATTTGATTCCTATTCAAGAGAATTACTTTATATATAGTCAATATAGGCACAGAGTTAAATTTTTTAACATTTTCTAATGGTGGTGTGCCTCGTGATTTTTTTCATGAAACAAGTGTGCCTTTGCCCAAAAAAGGTTGAAAAACACTGGTATAGAGAATGTAGATGTTAGTAGGGACTAGAAGAATCATCAAAGGTTTCTTTGGCCCTAGATGATATGGCTCAGTTGGTTGGAGTGTTGTCCTACGCACTGGAAGGACATGGGTTCAATTCCAGGCCAGGGCACATACCTAGGTTTTGGGTTCAATCCCTGGTCAGGACACATTTGAGAGGCAACTGAACACTGAATCTCTCTCACATGGCTGTTTCTCTTTCTCTCTTTCCCCAACCCTCTCTAAAATCTATTTTTTTAAAAAAGAAAAAAGGTTTCTTTGAATAAATGGAACCTAATTTAGACCTTGAACTATGTTCATTAGAGGCAGGAGGAATAGAATGAGAAAAGGTACATGGGTGAGAATGTGAATGGATAGTAACATGGATAGTAGCCTTTTAGAAATCAAAAGGTTTGGGTTAAATATGATAGCCCTATTCATGAGTCCCCAGAATGTTTATAGGAAGGCTTTGAACTTTATCTCAGTGATAGTAATGGTTTGTGATCTGGGGAATGGCACCATAAAGAGTCTTTTAGAAAGATAAGTTTGGTAGCTTAATTAGAAGACATTAGACGGGGATCATATAGCAAACCTGAAAGTGTAATTTTATGGTGTCTTTTAAGCTTCGCTTGATATGTGAGATTACTTGTTAGTACATATAAAATAAAAACTACATTTCAGATTGAAGTTGATGGTGTTTCTATAATAAGTAAAACACCCTCAAACTTCCATAATGAAAGTTTATAAGGTTAAAGTGGCAATCTGAAGACAAAACAAGAAGGCGGAACTCTTCTCAGACTAGGTAACAGAAGTAAAGGAAGGACATATGGCAGCAATTTAGAAGTCTGGATTTGTAATTGCCATTTTTCACTGTTCTAGTTATAGAGTTGAAGTCGCATAGGTAATGGTGAAAAAGTCAGAATGAGAGATTGGTAGGAAATATCACACACTGCATATGTCAGTTGCTCAGAAGCACTCACTTCCTTACAGCAAGATAAAATAATAGTTCTGTGAGAGGTTATTACAAAAAGATTTATGTTTGCAATAAAACACCGTACTGCCACTTACCTTCATAATCCCACAGTTCATTGAAAGGCTTTCCTGGTTCTCCAAGCGGGGCTGGAGGATCATTGAAAAATGGAGCACTAACTTTCAACATCACTCCTCCGTCACCTGGGTTCAGCCTGACAAACACTGGCTCATGCGTCACCGGAGAACCATCCCAAGTGTGTTCAATTTTAAAATCCATCTTTAGATTATAAAGAGAGAGAGAGAAAAAAAACCTCTTTAACAATACGGAAATGTTTTCTTTAGTCAGAAATGAAGTGAAAATTTCCAGTAAGCCAAGCAGGACGATAGCAGAGTGAAGAGAAGACGGTTCTGAGAGTCCAAAGGCCATTAGCGTTATGGCAAAATAATGGACACTGAGTTTTACCAAAAATAGGTAGTTGGACCCAAAAGCCTTTGAGACTTTAAGTTTAGATCCAAACTTGTTTTTAACAACTATAAGCCCACTGCAGAAATTGTTCATATACTTAACAACTATCGATATAAGCATTATGAGTTTTTATGCCATTCTTGTCATTTACTGTAAAATGTGCAGGTGTCTAAACTATTGGGTCCCTTGAGAACCAAGATCTTTAAAATAAAATTCAGTTTGATTAAAACATTCTATCAATCATCAGAAACATTTCTGTTAACACCTATTCTTTTGGTTAAAACCCTGTTGTTTTTTTGTGGGGGGAGAGAGGGGAAGCGGGACTACAATTGTTTGAAGTTAGTTCCTTGTTCTCAGAGTATAGATTTTCTCAATCTATTTTTTAAAAATTTTAATGAGTTTTTATTTATTTTTAAAGAGAGAGGAAGGAAGAGGAATAGGGAAACAGAAACATCCACGAGAGAGAAACATCATTGACTGGCTGCCTCCTGCACACCCCCTACTGGGGATGGAGCCCTCACAGTGGGCATGTGCTCTGACTGGGAATTGAACCCCTGAACTCTTGTTCCTGGGTCAACGCTCAACCTCTGAGCCCACTAATAGCTGGGCTTCTTAGTCTATTTCAAAGTTTAAATGATGACAGATTCTTTTTCCATTTCTCTAAGGGTGAAACGAGATTAATCAAGCAATTTGGTCATTTAACACTTGAAATATCAAAAAGTGACACAAGCAGTATTTGCATTTTATGCTATTTTTCCAAAGATTAAATTGAAGGACAGAGTATTATGTTAATAAAATTACATATTATTGAAAATTATAAATTGGGCATTTTATAAACATTATCTGATTTAATTTCACTAGAAACTAGCAGATGAGCTATTATTATCCTCAGTACAAAAGAAGAAACTGACTTGTCAAAGGTCACATAATGGGCAAATCAAGAAATTGAAACAATGCCAACCATGTTTACCCAGATGAAGCCATTTTAGGAATCTGGAGGGAGATGAAAGCCTTACTTTAGGGGTATTGAATTCTCTAAATTATACTAGATTCGTATGCCATGTTCAGAGGAGAATCTTGATTACTAAATGATGATATTTTCTAACTGTAATTTATATATCTGAAATATTTGAAGGCATTTCCTTGTTTCATATGTTATTTTTACTGTAAGTAGTAAAGTAGGGAACCAGCAGGCTAGTGGGAGGACAGTTGAGGGCAATCAGTCTGGTGGGGGGGGTGCAGTTGGGGACGAGCAAGCTGGTAGGCAGAGTGGTTAGGGGAGATCAAGCAGGCAGGTGAGCAGTTAGGAGCCAGCAGTCCCAGATTGTGAGAGGGATATCCAACTGCCAGTTGTGCGATTGGGCCTAAACTGGCAGTCGGCTATCCCCCAAGGGGTCCCAGATTGGAGAGGGTGCAGGCCTGGCTGAGGGGCACCCCCGTCCCCCCATGCACCAGGCCACTAGTATTGAACTAAGCTCAGTGCGTGATAAGAGTATAAATACAAATTGATCCTGATGTATGTGGAATTTAGTCCTGACTTGCATGGAATAAAACATTAATAATACATTTATTTTCTTTAGTTAAAATATCCAAATACCTTCTTCAAAAATAAATCTAGTAGTATATCCTCTACCCTAAATTTGGTATCTTCTTATTACATATAGGAAGAAATAAGAATAAATCAAGATATTAGAAATGCTCATTAAAGCCGATTCTGGTGGGAATATACTGAGGGAACATGCTATTCTCTTAACTTGGAATTTGACAATCCTGGCAAAACATAGCTCAACAACAACTAGGAAGTGTTGGTAGATTTACTCATTCTCCATACAAGCATCATATCCACGAAATGCTGAACACATTACAGGATTTGTGTGATCCTATTCAATGGGTTTCCACTAGAAAATTTTCTGCAACTCATATTTCAGATAAATAACTAATTTGTTATTTAATCTTCAAAAGGCTCCTAGAAGTCAATAAGGAGAAGACCAAAATCCAAACAGAAAAATGGGTAGAGATACGAACAGCTAATTCACAGGAAAAAAATGCAAAATGTTCAAGTTCACTTAGAGTGGTAGAAGTTGGTTAGTGTGTAGCATGTTGGTTAGAGTGTAGTATGTTGACCTGAGACACCAAGGTTGAGTGTTCAATCTCTGATCAGGACACACACAAGATCAACCAACAAATGCATCAATAAATGGAACATTGAATCAATGTCTTTCTCCCCCACCCCCTGAAATCAATCAGTAAATTGTTTGTTTCTAAAGAAATACAAAATAAATAAAAAATACTATTCTTCACTTATATTCTCAAGGACCGGAAAGTTTAATAACATGCTAATGAGGACACTAAGAAGCAATCACACACTGCTGTTGGGGCAAACCTGGCACAGTCTTTTTAAGGGCAACCCCTGAATAGCTATCTAAATAAAAAATGCAAACATCCTTTGACTCAAAAATTCTAGTTCTAGAAGTTATTGGGCCTGCACATATTCAAAGTAACGTAAGTGTAAAAATATTCACTGCAACGTTGTTTAGAATAACTAAATGTTGTAAGTAATTTAAATACTCATCAGTAGAGGACTGATACAGGAAATATAGTGTATCATACAAGGAGAAACTTCATAGCTGTTACAAAGAGTGAGGCACCTCTATACATACATCTAAAACATACTAAGTGAAAAAAAGCAAGGTGCAGAAAACTAAGTATTCAGTTAATTACAAGGAAGACTAATTGTATGTATTGTTTTGAATGCACACACTATCTCAGGAAGCATAAACAAGCCAGGGGCAGCAGTGGTTGCCTCTTTGGATCTGCCTAACACAGGGGAGGAAGGCAGACTTACTTTCAACAATATCACTTCATCATTTGTTTGTTTGTTTTTTACCTATTTGAATTTATACTATGATAGATACACATTACTATTCAAAACTACATGAATAATTTAAAACTTTTTTTTAAAATCTAATTTAAGGCTAGGTATCTCTCTCTCTCTCTCTCTCTCTCTCATTAATCCTCAACCAAGGATATTTTTTTCATTGAGTTTTAGAGAGAGTAGAAGGAAGAGAGAGAGAGAGAGAGAGAGAGAGAGAGAGAGAGAGAGAGAGAAATGGAGAAGACACATTGTCTGTGGCAAGAGCCCCAACCTGGGTTGGGGACCTAACCTGCAACCCTTTGATGCACAGGCAGACACTCTGACCACTGAGAACACTGGTCAGAGGGAAGGCTGGGTGTCTCTAAAGTGTATGGTAACTACCTCTTTTCTCCTTTATATTATTTATGCTGAACATGTCTAAAAAGTCAGAATGGATATGAGGAATATTAAAGAATATGTTAATTCAAGATGATCACTACCTTGCTATGTAATTGTAATGTTGGCTCTTAAACTTTCTTAAAAGAATGTTTACTATTAATCCTGTTTCCCCCCACATTTTAATTGCTATTCTTCAACTTACTCTTTCATTAAAAAAAAAAAAAGTCAAAAGTAATTTTAAATTATTTTCATGCTTTCCCTATATGCAAAGACATTTAAAAGAAAGTGAAGGAAGAAAAAGGAGAAAGCAGCTCAGCGTATTAGAAGCTTAGGAGAGGGGGGAAATTCCAGGAAGGTATAAAGAAGGGAATTATGGAAAAGGTGTTCCTCAACAGAACGTTTTTACAAGGAAAATTTCCAAATTCCACGAAATTCTCTTTCGTTTTCTTCAAAACTTATTTCTTTTACGGCTCCATTCTCCACATACACACACACCCCTTCCTCTGCAATGAAAAGAGAAAAGGAGAAATGAGGAAGTCAGGCAGAAAGAGGGAGTAAACTGTGCCAGCAGAAGGAGGCAGCTGAATAAGTTACCAGAGAGAAAAAGCTAACGACAAGAATGGGGGAAGGTGCAAGGAATGAGAATGAAAAATAAAACAACAATAAAAACATAAGAGACACAGACCTGGAAGTTCTATGTCCACCAGGCTGGCTACATCCAGCTGAGTTCCCGGGAGAGGAATCAGCTTAGGCTCCGCCCCGCTGCCTACACAGTCTGGGGGCGGGGCTTGGAGGACTGAAGCAGAGGCCTGATTTTTCTAGGAAAGAAAAATGTTGAAGGACCATCAGTGAACATCTGAAGACTCTTTTTTCTTTTTTTAAATATATTTTATTGATTTTTTTACAGAGAGGAAGGGAGAGAGATAGAGAGCTAGAAACATCAATGATGAGAGAGAAACATCGACCAGCTGCCTCCTGCACACCCTCCCCACCCGCAACCAATGTACAAGCCCCTGACCGGAATCGAACCTGGGACCTTTCAGTCCGCAGACCGACGCTCTACCGCTGAGCCAAACCGGTTTCGGCCAGCTGAAGGCTCTTAATTTCTTTATTGAAGTGTGAGCGGTTTTCTAGATGGAAGAGGAACCCCGCAATATAAAATCCTGTGCAACAACTTTAAAATCAACTGTAAAGTATTAAGATTAAAATAGAACATGTACAGTGATAATTCACTAAATGTAACTAAAGGCTAATTGTCTATATAAGCCAAACCTGGAAATTATATTATACAATACCATCTATAAATAATGTTACCCTAGCTGTAGATTATATTACTCTACCGGGCGGCATCTACATAGTGGTCAACAATGGTGACAATAGAACCAAAGTGCCTGGATTCAAATCCCAGTTCAGGTACTTTCTAGTTCGAATTAACATTTATATTGCTAGCATTGAAATTTCCCCCAATTCTAACTGTGGGGGAGAGGGGGGAAATGATAGGGTTTAAATCCAGACAAAATAGGTTTTTAATAATGGGAATTATAATCCACCCATAGATGTAAAGTTTTGCCTTATTCTTTCCTTGCAAAAATGAAATTTTTGTCTTTCCCCCTTTTGGGGAAGAAAGTTGACTAAAGAAACAACTGCTGAGTTTGCAGGGCCTTTGGAGTACTTCTAACTACAGTACATGCCTCATTGCTACGCAGTTAAACATTCAAACTACTGTCTCCTAACTCCAAAGACCCAAGAGGGTTAGGACGGTACTTCGTTTCTGCAGATTCCCCAGTCCTTACTCAGAAATCCCCCCGCGGGGCAGGCTTGGTGTGGCCTCTTAAGTCTCCAGTCTGAGTCTCGCCCCTCCAAACCCCCCTCCCTCCGTCCCCCACCTCTCCCAAACCACAGAACCCCAAATCCTTTCCAAACCTCCTCTTTCCCCCTTTGGGGAGCGGGTTCTCCCAGTCCGGAAGTCTAGGTAGCAAAGATCCTGGGGAATTGAAAACATCTACTTAACGACCTACCTAGGGTTACATTTTGGGGGGATTCTTTAAAAACAAACAAACAAAAAAAAACCAACAACAACAAAAAAAACCCAGCTGGGCCTCCCACACCCGAAGACACAGGCCCCGCCAGCTTTCCCGCCACCACTCCGCCGGCTCAGCTGGTTGTCATCCACCTTCCCGCAGCCCCGCTCCCAGCTGGACACATAGCCAATGGCGTGCGGGAACGCTAGGCAGCGTGATGACGTCGGCGCTGACGCCCGCGTGAGGACGCACGCGGCATCCCCGTCTCCTAGGAGCGGTCCAGGGCACCGGTTTCAAAGTCGCCGGGCGGGCCGCCTGGACTTCCGCCCCGGCCGGGCCGTCGGTCCTGAAGCCGCCGCCGCTCGCTCCGCGGAGGACGCCGCCCCCGGGCTGCCCGCCGGCTCCCTCCGCGCTCCCTCCGCTAGGTGGCCCGACGCGACCGGAGCGACCCGTCGGACGCCTGTCTCCAGCCGCGCCCCGTCCCGCCCGGCTGAGATTTGTGTGGACCTGGGGCAGAATGCGCTCGGCGCGCCCCCGGCAAACCTGAAACCGGAGGTCTCCTTCCCGAGCGGGGAGTGGGGTGCTGACAACCGCACTGAACAACGTCCGGAGCGGCGCCCCGGGTTTGCCTTCCCGCCCCACGAGCCCCGTGTCTTGTCGAGGAATCAAGGGAAGGTGGTGAATGCTCCAAACTCACATCTCATCCGAATGGCCAAGGAAACCGACCCACTGAGGGAGAAAAGTAAGCTCCTTCTTCCTTTCCTGAGAATTCTTAGCCTTAGTATTCCATGTCATCGTGGACCAACTAATATATATTTTTTCTGAATGCCTCTTGGAAATGTGTGGAAACTTACAGAAGTCCGCTGCAGAAAAGCCTAGTGGGATTATAGGAGGAGGTGTGTATACATACTAAAGCAGAACCGTTGGGTGAATACGTGCAGGTCCCTTGGCTTCCCCGGGGCTCAGCTAGACACCAAACATGTTTGTTATGCTTCTCACAGGCTCTGGGACCTGAGAGGGCAACCTCTGGGCAGGGTTTCTCAGTCCGAAGTTACACCCTGGAGGCACAGCTCTGGCCATTTGGCCATTTATAGAAGTCCTCCTTTTTCAGTTATGTGCCAGAGCCATATAAGCATAGCTGCCACCATGTGAAGAGGACAATCCAGGAATTTAAAACAAGGAGGGAAATAATAAGTAAATTCCATAAGTACACTGAAGTGGCAGCAACTGCTAGGTCCTTTGCCAAAGTTTCTTCCTAGGTTCTTGGCGTGATGAAAAGAGTGTTTAACTATGTAAGGCATTTGGGATTGTATGTGACACATAGTGCTAAACAAACACTAATTAATATTGTTTAATACTAGTTAATACTAATAATAACAGGCTTATTATTAACTGTGGTCAAGGAAGGTGCCATTGGGCTGGAATTTGAAGTGCTAATATGAATTTACTAGACATCCCCAATAGAACAGTATTTGCAGCATTGAGGGGGTTAGAAATGTGCTTAGTTAACAACTTGCAAGGAAATTAGCTTGGATGGAATGTGCTTTATCTAGAGAAATGACAAGTGCGGCTGAAAGGGAAGAATGGGGATAGATGGTCAACAGTCTTGTCTGCTATGTTCAGGAGTTCGGACCATTGCACAGGTTCCAGGAACCACTGGGGGGGGGAAAATCAACTGAGAATAGCATGATCAGATTGGGATTTTGAAAGCCCAATGTGGCTGTTATGAGGAGCATGTATTATAGCACAGTGCGGTTCGGTGACTTATCCAGGTAAGAAATGAACTAAGGTCAGTATAATGAGATTGGAGATTAGGGGGTTTGGGAGAAAGAGGTGGAGAGCAACCAGGAAGATAAGGGGGGATGGAGGGGAACAGTAGGCTTCATTTTGGAAGCATTATAGACCAGTGGTGAAGAACTCATCCCATCTCTGGCATTCTCTACATTGGGTTCTATGGAACTTGATTGCCTCTTTTCATTTGTTCCATTGGGATTTGAGAGTCTCGCTCAAGACACTGTGATTTGGTACTTTTCATCTGGCAACTCCACATGATAAAGTGTCAACTTTACACATCATAACCACTGGCAGTTCCACACCCAGTCAGGCTTCTAGTAAACTTTTAGCATATTTGCAGGACACTAGTCTTCCATTTCCATCTGAGAAGAGAGATCTGATAGTTCTTAGGGATCTGTTCAGAGGAACTTGTGTATCAAACTAAGAAATGAAGAATTCGTTCTTGTAGTGGTGATTATGGACAGTGGGGATGGACTCATTTTTTCCTTTCATTCTCTTAACAGTGTCTTTCACAGAACAGAACTTTCTAAGTGTGGTGAAGTTCAATTCCTCAATTTGTGTTTTTATGGATCTGTGTTACATCTAAGAAATCTTTGCTTACACCAAGGGTGCAAAGATTTTTTTTCTGTGTTTTTTCTTTTTTTTTCTAGAAGTTTTGTAGTTTTAAGTTATAAATTTGGATCTATGGCCCATTTTGAGTTGAATTTTGTAAGGATTGAGGCTCATTGTTTTGCATATGGATGCCCAATAGAAAGAATATCTTTTCCCCATTGGGGTACCTTTGCCCTTTGTTAAAAATCAGTTGTCTGTATTTGTGTAGGTCCATTTCTGGACTTAATTCTGATCCATTAATATTTTTGAAGTTTTATAGTAAGTCTTTAAATCAGATAGTGTGCTCTTTTTCACAGTTGTTTTGGCTATCCTAAGTCCTTTGCATTTTCATATAAATTTTAGAAGCAGCTTGTCAATGTCTACAAAAAACAGATGCTTGGATTTTGATAGGCATTGCATTGAAACTACTGATCAATTTGTGTAGATTATATTGAGTTATCTGATCAATTAAAAGTTATATATCTGCCGAAACCGATTTGGCTCAGTGGTAGAGCGTCGGTCTGCGGACTGAAAAGTCCCAGGTTCGATTCCGGTCAGGGGCATGTACGTTGGTTGCGGGCACATCCCTGGAAGGGGGTGAGCAAGAGGCAGCTGGTCGATGTTTCTCTCTCATCAATGTTTCTAGCTCTCTATCTCTCTTCCTTCCTCTCTGTAAAAAATCAATAAAATATATTAAAAAAAAAAAAAAGGTTATATATCTGCCCTAACTGGTTTGGCCCAGTGGATAGTGTCAGCTTGAAGACTGAAAGGTCCCAGGTTCAATTCCTGTCAAGGGCATGTTGGTTGTGGGCACATCCCCAGAAGTGGGTGTGCAGGAGGAAGCTGATCGATGTTTCTAACTCTCTCTCCCTCTCCCTTCCTCCCTGTAAAAATCAATAAAATATATATTTTTAAAAATTGAAATATTTGAAATAGTTGAAATCCATTGAAATATTGCTTCATTAATTTCTCTCAGAAATACTGGTATTTTAGTATATATTAGTAGGTTTTACATACTTTTTATCAGATATAATGCTGTTTTGATATTGATAATATTGTAAATAGAATTATACTTTTACCTTCATTTTTTTTTATTTATCATTGCTACTATAGAGAAGTCTTTATTTTTGCCAATTGTGTTTCTAAACACACTAATTAGTTGTAGTAGTTTTATTATTGTAAAGCCCGTTAGATTTTCTACATAGATGATCATTTCATCTTATAAATATAGTTTTATTTCTTTCCAATTCTGGGTGGTATTGAAAGAATGAGTATTGTAAATTTATCAAGTGCTGTGTATTACTGTGAATTAAAATATCCACCTTGTACTTACTGGACCTCCTTTTTGTCTCCTGCTCACTCTGGCTTAATTTGGATTCTTCATCCTGCAGTTTCTCCTCAATGTGGAAGTTTGTCCTGAAAAAGAATTGCAGCAGATTTTAACAGTTCTAAAGAATATGGCTAAAAGTAATCTCTTCAACTTCTTTTACTTCTAGTAGCAGGAATTTAAAAAGAATGTGCAGAATATTTTTTTGAGAAAGCTAGGGGAGAGAGAAAATTAAAATTTATGAGATCAGAAAAATTGGTTCTTTGCAGCTGTTCTTCTTTTTCTTATTGACAATAGTTGGTTTAGGTGTGTAAGAGGGGTCCTATTCTTAAACTCAAAGTGGTGTGATAAATTTTTTTAAATTATTTTTTCTTTATTGATTAAGGTATTACATATGTGTCCTTATCGCCCCGTTGTCCCCCCACCCCCCGACTCATGCCCTTGCCGCCCACCCCCCCTGCCCCGTGACTGTGTTGAAAATGATGGTTCATTTTATTTTAAGAAGTAGTGGAGGCTAGCAGTTTTGCATTGGCTATATCAAATAATAACGTCTTTATTTCTAGTTTTTAAAAATTGAACATTACCCTATGAACTACAAATTGTTTGTTGTTGTTTTCTCAGCTCAAAGACTAAACGAAGTTCTTAGGCTGTGTCAAATGGAAAATGTTTCCAAATATTCAACAGTGCAGGTATGTAAATGAAGGTCTAACAAACTGGTTTACTTTGGTTATAAATATATCTGTATAAATATGAATTGAAATAAATTCTACTTTGGATTATTTTCATGTGAAGTTGCCTACAGCAACTTAGTTTGAAATTTTACCTAAAATTTTGATGCCTGTAAGGAGAAAAGCTTGTTTTTGCTTAATGAATGTAAATTCTTTGACCATAGAAACTGCCCTTTTTTTTTTTTTTTTTTTTTAGAGTTGGAGTTTACATATTCATAGTGTGTTTGAGTTCTGAAATGAGAATTCATTTTTGTTTTGACACATTCTAAAGTTGTTTCTCAATATACAGCCAGTTGTAAACTTTAACTACCAGAGTTTTCATAGATTATGACAGAAGCATAGACTAGCTCAAAGTAGTATATAATGCATGGCATTGTTTTAAATATTTCTTTCCTTGGTTGTATGTTTTTATTTAAATACTAGAGGCCCAGTACATAAAATTTGTGCCCAGGGGTGGGGGGGAGGCGAGGGTTGTCCCTTAGCCAGACCTGCACCCTCTTCAATTTAGGCAGAGATCAGGCCTAAACCGGCAATAAGACATCCCTCTCATATACTGGGACTGCTGGCTCCTAACCACCTGCCTGCCTGCCTTATTGCCCCATAACTGCTTCTTCCTGCCAGCCTGGTCGCCCCCTAACCACTCCCCTGTCAACCTGGTTGACATCAAACTGCTCCCCTGCTGGCCTGATTGCTCCCAAATGCCCTCCCCTGCAAGCCCGATCACC